ATTAAACTTCTGAGGTTTTCACATGAGCTTCTTACATCCTCGGCAGTACGCCCTAGCTCAGATCGACACAGCCCGGGAGATGGAGGATCCAGACTACCTGACAGAAGGCTACTTGAACCTTGCACGAAGTAACGAGAAGCTGTGCGACTTCCAGAAAACCATCTCCTACTGCAAAACCTGCCTGAACATGCAGGGGACCACCATCGGCCTGCAGCTGAACGGTCAGGTGTGCCTGAGTATGGGCAACGCCTTCTGCGGCCTCAGCGTGTTCCAGAAGGCCTTGGAGAGCTACGAAAAGGCTCTCCGCTATGCCCACAACAATGACGACAAGATGCTGGAGTGCCGCGTCTGCTGTAGCCTGGGCCACTTCTACGTTCAGCTCAAGGTACAGTACTGTCCCCTTAGCGGAGAGTACCGACAGCACCAGGAACTACACAGAAATGTTTACTAGATCATTCACCATTCTTGATGTGGAAGTAGCTATCAAACACCTCAGTGTTGCGCATTACTATTAGCAACATATTAATATAAAAAAATTAAAATCCTAAAACCTTTCACTGTCTGCTGAGCAGCTTGATTTCTATAAATGAATTGTGGGTAGTTCCTGGTGAGTAAGTAATGATCTTTTCTGGCAAATAAAAAAATGGTTAGCTAATGCTTGCAGCAACTGGGGGTTAAGGGCCTTATTCAGGGGCCCAGCAGTGAAATCACTGGCGGACTTCCAATTTTGCCTAATGCCCCCCCCCCCCCGCCCCCCAATACCAACTGGAAGATCTTATGAAGTACTGAGAAAAGGCAGCACAAAATGGCAGCTATGGCGGCATTAGGCAAAATCATGTATTACGCAGAAACTAAGAATATGTGTTACGGGGGATAGAAAATGAAATGACATGTTTTAACACTAATGCTAAGTACAAAAACACGAAGGCTGCAGGAAAATTGTGAGAGGTTTGGAGTAAGTTAGAGGCCTGCTGTTACATTTGCACTGCTGTGGTACATAGCATCACTTGCTATTCACAAACACTCAATATACCTGTGGGCTATGCAGTGTATGTAGGCCAATGTGTATTTATATAGGCTAATGTATCTAAATGTGCTTTTTTTTGTTAAAACATACAAAGATTTTGCTTGCTGTGAAAACATTTTATCCGGTATAAGGCGATAATATGCGATTAAGTGTCAGTTTTGCTTGTGCTTTTGACATATGTAGTAGGATGTTTGAAGCATTCAGCTTTAGGGTGTTTCCAGTGGCTGGGTTGCTAGTTCAAATCCCAGAAGCAGTATTATGCTACTTACAAAGGTGTCCTTTCTGCTCCAGTGAAATAGATGTATGGGAATTGGGGCTGCTGAATGCACAAAACAACTTTTGATTGTAAGAAATATTACAAAGTAGATTTTGTCTTTTTCCTCCCAATTGGTACCTTTATCATATACCTAGATAACCGGTTGTAGCCTCCAGAAAATACTTTTTCTAAGCAGATTTTTAGAACATCATTCTGGTTGTTCTTCCCTCACTGTGACACTGTAATTTCACTGTAATAACCTTAAGTGAGGATGACCTGAAATATGTTCCTTCAGATATGTTTGAGCATCTTTAACTGATTCACCTTGATGACAGAGCACAGGTTGTGGGGGCAAGTTTGAAATGTTAAGTTAAACAGCATTATAGTGAATTACAGTGTAGGGTGTCACTTTGTATCCTTAAAGTTCTAGGGCTCTGTTGGTGTTGGAAAGCAGCCACAACTCAACACACACTCCAGTGCACTCTAGTGAAAAGTAGTAAATAGTGTGTCTGTCATTACAGACAGACACACTATGTCAGTGATCACCTTAAGACATTTAAACCAATGTTCTTTTAACGCTTTTAAGTCATTTAACTGTAATACTTTATAGTTTCCTTAGCTTATTAAAATTAACATTATTTAGTCAGTATGTGGCTTAATATTTTAAAGGATATGAGTCATTCAGAAGTTTGTAATTTATGATGTTTTGCACCGTAGAACTTTCTGGGTCTTTCTTGGTTGCCGTGTGACCCTTACACCCTGTTCATCTGGGCTTTGGCAGGATTATGAGAAGGCCTTGTTCTTCCCCTGCAAGGCGGCGGAGCTGGTCAATGACTACGGCAAGGGCTGGAGTCTCAAGTACCGAGCTATGAGTCAGTACCACATGGCAGTAGCCTACAGGAAGCTGGACCGCCTGCCGGACTCGATGGAGTGCTGTGAGGTGAGGTGCATGGTCCTAGGCAGGAGCCGAGAGCTTCGGAAGTGTATCAAAACGTGGAGAAATTGCTTCTTATTGTCTTATTTAAGTCGTATCAGCTATCAGTCATCCATCCACTGGAACCTTTCACTGGCAGTGAAGGACACAAGCCAGGGCCACACGCTGGCTGGGATGTCCTACCCTCACACACGATCCTATACTGTGGGCAATTTATAGATGCCACTTAGCCTAACTGCACGTCATTGGATTGTGGAGGAAACTCACAGTGGAAGGATTCAAGCCCCAGCCCCAGTTGCGTTCATACCGCAGATATTAGAAACTGCGGATTCTGATGAAAAGGATTCTGATGTTTCAGCCTCATCATGCTTGTTATACATTTTTGTAACACAGACACTGCGGTAGCGTGGCAATGAATGCGATCGGTGGGAATGGTAGAGGCAGACTGGATGACAGTTCTGCAGGGAAGCGTGGGTTTGGGGACAAAGGGAGATGTGTCACGTACTGGGCGTGACTGGGCTGGCAGATCACCATGTTACAGCCTGTACTCATTTGGCATGTGGTTTGAAACTTATGAATCGTTAATTTCTGGAATTTTCCAGTTTTTTTTGGGACCGCAGTACTGAAACTGCGGTTACTGAAAGCATGGATACAGGGATCCCATTCTACGTTGCATTTATCTCTTTTGCAGTTGCTTGATGTGATTGCTCACACAAACACAAACATTGCTTTACTCCCTTTTCATTTCTACCAATCTTGCCTTGGTATTGCCAGTGTTGAAATTTGTTATGCTTCTGCAAACTCCCTGCTTTCTTCTAGAAATCCATCCTCCGATGTGTGTGTAAGTTTAGCATGTTCCCCTATGTCATACAGGCCTCCTATGATGGTTTCCTCCCTGCTGTCCAAAGACATGCAGCTAGATTTACAGGCACCACTTTATTTGAGGGGACATGAATAATGTAGTAGTACACTCTTACTGAATGTATTAATTAACCAGTAACTAAGTGTTAGTTACACACTGATCCTATGTTTGTTAATCAATCATGACGGCTCATGTATTTCATGCAGGAACTGTTAGTTCATGATTAGTTCTTGAGTAGTAACTGAGTAACAAGGTTATTTGTGCCCCCTCAAGTAAAGTGTTACCAATTTGCATTGTCCATAGTGTGTATATTAATAATGATTATGAGTGTTATATATACCCTGCTTTACTGTAACACCCCATGCAGGCCGCTTTTAACCCTGCCTAGAATCAGAAGTTAGTCAGTGGATCGACAGTCATTGCAGTGTGTTTATTAGCTGGTTCATCTTTTAAAAAGTACTTACTGTTTATGGTAGCTGGATGGATAAAGCAGTGAAATGCTTAGGGGTGTGAGTCTTCGTGAAAATGGGCAGTGCCTTGATATAAATATATGAGTTCAGAGTGATTTCACCTTTGGCCCCTTAACCCACTGTTTTCTCAGACAGGCATGATGCTTGTATAAAAGTGTCGTAGACATGTACCACATCATAGTCATGTTATGTACCAGGTCATTTGACCAAAGCTATTTGACATTGCTCACCATCTTACTGTAGCTCTTGTGGTTATTGCACGTATATCATGAAAGATTCTGGCCAGACGTTACATTTTGTGTCTGGAGCATCACGGAAGCTGCTCTGTTGAAGGACGTCCGTGGCACGTTGACGTCAATCACAGTGTGTGCTTATGAATATTCAGGGAGAAATAGCACTCATAAGGTGATGAGAGGTGAAAAGGTTTTAGTGAAATCTTTCTGGAGTCCTTTAGCAAATTAAATTAATAGGAAACTATATATTTGAATTTCAAGATGTTGCTAAAACATTCATTTTGCAAAGTGCATAATTATTTCGAATTTTATGCAGCAATTTGGGCTGAATCCAGTTGGTAATCTTGTGCTCTTTAGCAAGTGTAAATGAACAAGAAACAGATGTCGTATAACAGTAACTTGCTTTTTTGCATATTATATGCTTACATTTTGAAAGGTTTATCTAATAATGATCCAGGTTAATCCGAGCTGTGTCAGAACGTGTCCTCCTCATGGGGATCGCAATGTTAAAAGTTGTCGACCATGGTGGGACGAAGGGGGTGTTGACAGTGTCATAATTCTCTACTATGGGGGCAGACTGGTCTTGGATCTATTTTAAAAAGTTTGTTTTAAAACAACTGTGAAACCACATTTTTATTAACAACCGTATTTGTTTCACAATAAATTGCTCTTACAAAAATGTGATTTTTTTTTAAGCAAACTCACTTTGACTCCTCTGCAGTGTTTCACCCACAATAATTTATCCATCTTCCATGTTTACAGCCATGTTTCTACCTCATGTGCACCACTTGCACGACAGTATACACTTTCCTGCTGTTTGTTTATTTGGCATGGAATTAATGCGCTGGGAGTTGGTTATTTTTGACAAGCTGCCAGATAACAAAAGCTTTACCCCTGTGGGCATCAAATAAAGTTAAAATAAAAATGTCTTATTATTTCTTTTCTTACGCATCACTTATGAACTCGCAGAATGATATTCATGTGAAGTATCCTTGGTCTGCCTGCCAGCTGGGAATCTGCCCCAAAGGCATCGATTTGACTTAATGAACTTAACAGATGTTAGAAGGTTGTCCTCCGATCAGGAAAAAAAGTTCTAGGTTTTTTGCACTTAATCGGTAATTTATGCTGCACATGGATTATTTGACGACCTGACAAGTTGTAAGAATCTCAAAATAAAGACCCCCAGGAAAGGGTAAAGAATTTGTCATGTTTATGATCTGATAGCTTTTAATTGCGTATTTTGATTTAGCAATCTTATTCTGATAGATGTTTGATTATACGATGCACATAACTAATTGATTAACAAGTCTGTTAGGAATAGTAACTGTTGACATAATTCATTAATCATTAATGCAATTATTAATCATTAATACATCCATCATGCAATATTTATGCATGTATATAGTTTGCATAACTTGATACAAAGCTGCAGCTGAGAGATGTACAGGTCTTGGCAACAGTCTGCATGATTGTAAAATAGCAGTCTTGTAATAACACGTTATATATACACATATCAGTATATTCCTTCATTTGACAGACTAGCACTAGGTAGGTGGTCTGAAAAAGTAGATGCTGACATCTATGAATAAAAGACATTTACGACCTTTGTTCATAGAAGCATATCTAACTATTTATTCATTCTTTTTTCTGCCAATTAGTATTTTTTTCCAGCAATAGCAATATGTGCTAGATTAATTCTCAATTATAATTCTCATTTAATAAGATTTGATCCCGACCACCTGCAACTAGGAATTCTTTACCTTAAAGAGCATCTGTCGTTTAGCACAATGTTTCCAAACCAGTCATAAGGGACCCCCAGATATTCCATGATTTTGCTTCCTGGGAGGGAGCAAAAATGTAGACTGTCTGGCAGGTAGTTGGGAGGAAGCAAAACAATACGTTTCTTAACAGATTGTGTGTATGCTGCAGCAGATGGGGTGGGGGGGTGTCTTGGATCAGAGGATAAGATGGCTGTTGGCCAAAGTTGCCACCAAAGTTGCACACTGCATAGGGACAGAATCTCTCAAATGCCTTATCTTTCTTACAGAACTCATCATCTATAGGGTAGACAGTTATATTGTTATTACCAAAGGTATTCTCTAATGGCATGTTGCCATCTGGATGATCATTTCAGAGACTTCTTTATGCAAGTGGGCTATCTATTAGCCAAGTCTAGAGGGGATCTAAATGTAATGGCCAGCGTTGATACTGCTTACATAGGTAAGGGTAGGGTGTTTGTCATCTTGCATAAGAAGGAACTAGTCTACAAGCTTAAAAACAGAATTTCTACGGTGGTCGTAATTCAGCCAGAAAGACATGCAAGTCTACGAAACCTTTGAGATGTAACGAGAATATATGCGTGAATTAAATTTTGGGGGACAGGGGTTTTAGGTTTGTGAGACTTGAAGACCGTGTGGAACAGATGGGACCTGTTTAAGCCAGATGGGTTATATCTGAACCGGAGGGGCACCAGTGACTGGGAGATGCGAATGCCTGGAATAGCTGAGGAATTTTTAAACTAGGGTGGGCAGAGTCGTGGCGTCAGGGAGCTTAGCGGGCCGCCCTGGGAAGGGCATTAGAGAGCAAAATAAAAACCCTCTGTACAGCTCATTTAGAAACTTATAACGTGTTAATCAAAGGCATTACAATCAGATAAAGACAGTAAAAGACATTTTAATGCAGTCCACAGTATTAAAGTTGGACTGTATCAAAGATATTGCAAATACTGATAGAGAACCATGTGCTTTCCTCTACATATTTAAAAATGTATGTATTTTGTGTATTTAATACTGATAGAATCGATTGCTTTAAAATGATTGGTGTAGCTTCTTATATTTAGTGATACTGAGATTATGAATTCAAAATATCTGTGTAAATCTAGTGAAATTAATGTCGCACGGCTCTCTATCCCGATTTACACAGTGATGTCACCCAGAATGTGAATGGGGAAGGTAGCATGTGTCACGCCATTACCTTACATCATTTACTGCATCACAATATAGGAAACCGTTTGTTCTGTGGTACATTTCAAGATGTCCTGTTTGACGGCAGAAAAATGACCTCCAGTACTGCTGGGCCGATGGAACCAAAACCAGCATTTAAATTGCTCAAACTGTGAAAGATACACAGTCACATACAGGGCTAATTTGTTCCTGCAACTTTAGCAGCTGGAAGCACTTCAAAGAAAGTTTCAAAGCGAGTGTCATTAGTACATGCAGTAGAATGTGGGGCACGTCTTCTTGGCTGTATTCTTAAAATGACAGAAATGTGCTAGACATGTTTCTAATCTTAGTCAAATGCTGTATGACGGCCAAATGCAATGCAATGCTATCTACAGTATCTATCTATCTATCTATCTATCTATCTATCTATGTATCTATCTATCTATATCTATCTATCTATGTATCTATCTATCTATTTATCTATCTATCTATGTATCTATCTATCTATATCTATCTATCTATCTATGTATCTATCTATCTATCATCTATCTATCTATATCTATCTATCTATCTATCTATCTATCTATCTATGTATCTATCTATTTATCTATCTATCTGTCTATTTCAGTGGTTAGATACGGGTAGTCTAGATGTATCGTGTGGTGTGAAAATGTACAGTATGTCTGAGCGGCTTACTGGACTAATGACATCACCTCTGACTTCAATGGGATTTCTATGTCATACATACCCTAATACCCCTTGTATGAGGCTCCAGGTCGTATTTTTTATACAGATGTGGCACCTAGACTGAAATTTGGTAGCACAGCGGTTCTCATAGTAAAACCTATATTATAGAGGGAAGAACAGAAGGTAGAGAGGAGAGCACAGCACTCTGTTTGTGACCACTGAGTAACTGAAGGTATTATTTTACTCTCACAATCTGATAGTGCTCTGAAGATAGGACATGAAATAACAGGAGACCTGTCTACTAAGGCTAACTAGGTTTTTATGGTTTTAGAAAGGGAGTATAGTCATAGTTATACTGTAATAAATAACTGGAGTAACATAGAAGGTTAAGCTGGAAGGCAGAAAATATAGTTTTGTTGTGACCTTTAAATTTTCCATTAAATTATTAAAGAACATAACTACAATCTTATGTGAAATAATAACCAATTAAAAGGAAATGCAAAATGTATCCATAAGGCCACAGTATGAGAATGTTTGTTGAATGATGCAAATTAAAACACTGCAAATCATTGTCTTAAATGAAGTTCAGTATTGTTTCTCTTTCCCAGGAATCAATGAAGATCGCGATGCAACATAAAGATCGCCCTCTGCAGGCGCTATGCCTGCTCAATTTCGCAGACATCCATCGCTGCCGTCAGGACGTTGAGGTGAGGTGTCGAATTCCTCTCATTTTTATGAAAAGTTGCTCCTCCATAAATATTATGGATATACTTTCATGTAAAACAATTGCTGAATTTATAGGCATGTATAGTATCTCATTTTTCATTGTTCATTTATTAAATATGGAGCATCCTGCTTGTTGCTTTATTGTAACAAATGTAACATGTTGCTTTAGAGCAGGGGTCTCCAATTCCGGTCCTGGAGAGCTACTATCCAGTAGGTTTTCTATCATACCCGGCTTCTGATGAGCCACATTAGTTCTCAGGTAAATACCAGGAACAGGTGTGGCTCATCAGAAGCCAGGTAGGATAGAAAACCTACTGGATAGTAGCTCTCCAGGAACGGAGTTGGAGACCCCTGCTTTAGAGGCTGTGTTTATTCCTTTGGTTTTCCTGAATCAGCTGAAAAAGATGTTGTATTTATTTATTTATTTAATCTTGTCCCGGTGTGCAGAAAGCATTCCCGCGCTACGAGTCGGCTATGTGCATCATGACTGAAATTGGCAACCGCCTGGGACAGGCCTCCGTGTTCCTGGGCGTGGGAAAATGTTGGTTCCAGCGGAATGAGCTGGACAAGGTCTGAGATATTCGCATCTTAAATTTATTGCGAATGACTGCTGTCCTTTAGAAATCCCTTTGATACAGTGTCAGTGACTGTTTACTGACATCACGGTGATGGTGAAGTTGCAAGCATATCTGTCTGTTCTTTGTTCTGTAATTAAACAAGTTGAGCTTATTTCATACTCATGCATATTATATAAAATACGTCTTTGAATGTATAATTTTTCAGAAAATTTATGCATGACGTAAATCGCAGATTATTATTATATGTTATCAGGAGGTACGTGAGTTTAATGTGGTAATTGAATCTAAACTTAAATAGATGATACAATACTTTCTCCTATTTTGTAGGCTCTAGAATCCCTGCAGAGGGCAGAAGAGCTGGCAGAGGGGGTTGGAAATAAGGTAACTTGTCTCTCTGTTTGCAACATTGTACTGACTCACCACCAGCTACAGAAACATACATCCTATGACCAAATTATTGCTTGTAATATATTTGAAAACTTGCATTTTCATTCAATGGGCTCAAAGGTAATTTAAGATTATGAATCTGTGATTATGGACTTTGGGTGTGTAATTACAGAGTGCAGGTCTGTAACTGGGAATTCTGGGGGCGTTTTGGAATGAAATTCCATAGCTTTGAAGTTTATAAATTTGGATGGGTAATTATGGGCTGTCTTATTTTAGAATATGGCTTTGCAGCTGATAATGACATTGTATGTTTTATAAGCACTGTCTGTTAAATGTCTGTCTGTAATTCCAGTTCATGTTATGGGTCATAACTGGTTTTGAGGGTCTAATAGCATTGACTATGCATTTGTGGTTAGTCAGTGTAACATTGTCATGTGGATCAGTTCTTCTGCAGGTATGGAGTTGATTTATGTGGTATTTGATCTCTGTAGGTTGATTTAAAGTTTATGTCTGTTATTTCCAATGTATGCATGCAACTGCATGGATCTGAAGGTTTGGTCTTGTCAGTTCATGGTTTGTTTCTCTGTTCAGATGTTCTAGTTTAATTATAAACTGTGCATGTGTGCTGTGGAGTGTGCTTTTAAAATGGCAGAACGTACTTTGATGGATGAAGGGTCTACAAAATGTGATGTGCAGTTCTGGAATGATTATTTAGTCTGGAATGAACATCTAATAGAATGTGTGGCAACGTGGTCCGTGCGACAGGGGTGTTTTTGAGTTATTTTGAGTTTTAGATGATTGTATGACTCTTCTTCACCTGTTTTTACGTAATGTTGTGTAGCATATTTGAAATAAAATGCCACAGTCCAACTCAACCCTGACCATGAAAAGTATTTGGAAGATAGACATCATAGTCCACAAATATTCAAAAATATTGCTCTAAAGCATGTTTTAAGAAACATTTTTTTTTAATTAAAGACATTCAGTGAAAAAAAAATATATAAATATGGTAATTAACATTATTAAAAATAATGCCAGGCTTGTGAATTTTCAATGCCAATAAGATCTTAATTTCTAGTTAAAACACAGCATTGTTCTACATGCACATATAATCCCTCTATTATGGTTAATGGCAAATGAATCCTGCCTTAATTGTAGTTTTTCTAAACTTTTTTCCCCGATACTCCATTTGTTAAAAGTCTTCTGGGCTTTTTCCCCTGACAGATTTTTATTAATGACCTCCAGAAACCTGATTATCAGTGGTTTTAATCTCCGTTACCGGCACGTCTGCCAAAACATGCCGAGTGATCTCCCCCCCCCGTCCTCTCCTTTGTATGGCAGCTCTGCTCTCTGAAGGTGCACTGCCTGAATGAGAGGATTTTCCGCAAGAAGGAGCAGCAGGAGGAGCTGCGAGAGCAGGTGGTGAAGTTCCTGCAGTGTGTGGAGGAGCTGGAGCTCTACTGCGGCATGTGTGGCGAGTCCATCGGGGAGAAGAACCAGCAGCTCCAGGCCCTACCATGTTCCCATATCTTCCATCTCAAGTAAGCACTCTCCCCTGGTGCCCCCCCCCCCCCATATACCCCAGCGAGGCATGAAACGCTGAAGGCAAGGCTTTAAATGCCGGAAAAAGTCTAACATTTTCAACAAATTTAAAGACAATAATATTGACTACAATCTTTAACAGTTGTTCATAAGTTGTGCGTAAGTTATAGCACCTCATGAACATATCAAAGTAAAATTCGTAAATACCTACTGGTAGATTCTCAGTAAAATATAATGCAAAATCTTCTAGACAGAGAGATTAAGAACAGTGCCCAGTGGGTGGCGCTGTTGCCTCAAACCTCCTGGGTTTGAATCCCCCCCCCCCCCCCCCCCGCGCTCTGTGTGAGTGTGGAATCTGCATGTT